CAATTAATTAAATTCATTTATTTTTTCTAGATGACAATCAGTGCCGTCGTTTTTTGTTTTACATAAATTTTTCTCTTTTTTATTTGACTAATTACAGGCATTAAAAGCAGCCAAAACGATGAAAAAGAAGCCTGGATCGACTTCAAATATAACTATTTTTTTATCAAACTAGTACAAAAAATAGATTTTTATTATTACTGATAGTTTCTTTGATTGATAAACAAATGTCAAGGAGAAGACAGAAATATAAGCCTAAATAGGTGCGGTATTTTTAGAAGCAAAAAAATTAAAGGAATCATAAACAGGTACCACTAGGTAACAGCTGAATATAGCCAGTAAAAAGTGCGTACGTTTGTTAGCATTTACCAAATTAAAACTGTTTTTACTTACACTGAAATAAAACAATATAGCAGAAAAAAAAGTCGTGAAATGAATGATTGAATTAGCGAACACAAAAAAAAAAACGAAGACAGCAAATGGAAAGTTTTGGAAGATTTTTTTTTGCTTTTTAAACTTTTTTACAGCTTTATAGATTAAAATATTATTTGTATATCATTCTTCCTAACACAGTTTTTGAATTTCTTCATTAATTGCACTGATAATGGTCAAATGGAAGTAACGTCGACGACCATATGATATCCTTATTTTCGCTTGAACAACTGTAGGCAATTCAGTGGTAAACTCTTTTCTTGTTTATTTTATTCTATTTTTATGGTCTCTTAGAAAATTAATTAAGTGGTAAAAGAAATTTTTTTCAAACTGAAATGGATATGAATAAGGAGGAAAAATAAAATATGATAGCAAAGCAATGATACTAGGTAGCAGCAGAAATTTCTTCATAAACAACTAGATCGGTGACGGCAATGAACGGCATCTTCGATCAAGCTGAACCAAGCTGGCAATAAACTGTTAGTTTTAGTAATAAGTCTTCCTTAATATGCAAGTCAGATGTTATCGTCTTGAAGGAAAAATGAAGAAGAAGAAAATAAATGAACAAAGAACTTTCCCATTCCATCATTATCACTACTTTTTTTCATCGGCTACTGTTTAATGTCTGATATAAATAGCAGTTGCGTAACAGAAATGTCAAAATATGACAATTTTTCGTGTAGTCTTAAAATTCTTTCAAATTTAAGACATCAACAATAAAAAAAATACATTGTATGATGAGACAAAAGCAACAAAAGCAGAGGCACAAAAAAAAAGGTGTTGAACAAAACTGCACCAAATAATTGACGTTATGAAATAAACAGTGTTTATCTGTCCTCAGCTGACTTTTCATTTAGTCGGTAGCCCAAAAGTGTGCTTTGGCTAAATCAATTGTACATTTAACTTAAAATTGTTCAGACGGCTGTTATGGAAAATCAAGATTTTCAAAAAATTTTCAAAACTTTCTCCGCAGTAAAAAATTTTTTCAACAGTTTCGTCGTCTATTAGATATCATCTTACGTACAGGAAACTGGAAGAAAAAAAACAGTATCTCAGTGTACTACAAGAACAGCGGAAAAACTACAAATGATGTACTTTCAGTTATCTTTTATTGACTCATAAATAATGATTTCAACTTCTTCCAGAAGCTATTCACATAAAAGAATAATAGTTTAAAAACTCATTACTGCTTCATTCTTTTACATTGAAGAATAAATCCGTGTAAAAATTTTTTTATAATTCTGTTTAGATTTATGTACATCCAAAAAAAAGGCGTTTTCAGGCATTTTGTTAATCAAACGAATCACTTACCTACGTTGCAACTTTTCGATTGGTTTACAAAATTTTCGTAAAACAGTTAATTGCGAAATTTCTTTTGTTTTTCATATTTTAAACTTTTTTTATCAATCAGATGGTGATCTCGGTGAAAAGCGAATAAGATTTGTAGTTACATATAGACGTTGTTTGAGTAACGATTGTTCAGGTCAAACTGTCGTCGCTCATTATTGTTGCATCCACCAGATCGGTAAACGAACAACAACAAACTTTCTTCTTCCTGACAAATAAATTACTCTCAAGCGCAAAAAGTTAAGAATATTTCTTCTTAATAAGAAAGAAGAACAAAAAAAGAGCTGAGGTAGAAGGTGGGATAAAGTTTTATAAGAAGGCGTTGAACAGCCCAGGATTTGGTACCAAAATATCGCCTTATTTTCCGGCAGCAACTTCAAACGGCTATATTTCGCTCTCCACCGTCGATGTTGTTTGGTCGCCTCTTTCCTGCTTCCAGTTTCTTTCCTTCTTCCCCTGTACTGTCTGATGTCATCTGCATTTTCTTTTCCATTGAAATGCGGAGCGATTAGGCATAGGTGACGAGCTTCCTTCACTTTTAAAGCACAAAAATGTAATAAAGAAAGAGAAGGAAATAAAGTGTTCCAAAGTTCGAAAAAGTTCAAAAGAAGGTTAGCTTTTCTTCCCCATTTCTTTTTTCCACAACTTAGCCCCACTCAATCTTTGTTCTCCTTTTTTTTTGTGCAAATATTTGCTGCGTAATACGAAATGAGCAACTTCTTTCCCACTTTTCACCCCATCAAGCTTGTCTTTCTCTTAGCAGTCTTGAGTAAGACGTGTTTTAAAAAGCAAATATTAAACTATTTGTAGTTGTTATTATTATGTTCTCGTCCAGTATTTCTCAATAATAGTATAAAATAAACTACTCAGCAGTCTTTCCTGACTTCTAATAATCTTGCTGTTTTACCTGAGTAAGCGCAAATTTTTTAAACAGGTTTGTTTAGGGGAAAAAAAGTCTGGCAGTTTATAACCTTCTGGCTTTATGTTGAAACAGTGCAATGAAATTATAAGATCTTGAATTGAAAATTAAATGTTTACTGTGGTTCTGAAACATTAGTGGTACTTACATAAAAGTAATCATAATTGCTTCATCTTGTGTGCAACTCTTTTCAACCGCTACGCACCCTGTCTTTTACAATCATTTTTTTATTCATTCAATTTTCACACTTATAAATTCAAAAGATAAATGGAAAAAGAACGGAGAAAAAAGATATAAGCTTCCAAAAAAAAGAAAATCGAGCAAAAAAGCAAATTAGGTAATCCAATTAATGATAGAAGGAACTGAGTCACAATGGGACGGCTGGCATTTGACACTGACCTAAAACCTGTTTGAATTTTTTTGCTTTCGTCCATTTTTTTCCTTCCTAACAAATATAATTTATCAAAAAGCAGTATTTATTGAACCTGTATATTGGCAAAAACTTTTTTACCTAAATTTTCAGTTGCAAAAAAGTTTTAGTCTAAAAGTTTGTTAAATATTTTGTTGCCATTGCTGTCGACGTTGTTTTCTTCACTAATGAGCTTTTTCAAGGAGCGGAACTGCTGGTAATGCCGAAGTACATTTTAACGCCAATAATTTATGTCGCTTAGGAAAAAAAAAGTAGATTAAACACTGTTTCCAAACTTCTCCGTAACTTGACAGGCAAAAAAAAAAATCAAAAATAAGGCATTTTTTTTTTAAGCATCTTTTTGTGAGAAAAAGTTTCAACCCCTCTTTTTCCTGAAATTATACTAAATTTGTGCATGAATTGGCAAAAAGATTTTTGCTCTGTGGTGGTACACCAAGTTAAAAAAATTTTTTTCTGTAATTCGAAAAAATGACGCTATTCAACGGCAAAAAAAGTGGAAGAAAGAATGTCGCCTTTTATACGACATAGCAGTAGCCCTTCCAGTTTTGTTTTCGAAAAAATTGCAGTACCAGTACCAGCAGCTAAAACAGTTCTTCCCATTGTATCTCTCAAGTTGGCTTTTTTGCCTAGATAATGCACGTTTAAAAGGTACTAGAACAAGCTGTACCGATCAGAAATCAACTGGCTTGATCACCATTAACTCTATGAAACTTCTTTAACAACGACATGATGACACTAAAGATAGAGGGAACAATGAGGAATAACTGTATACTTAAACAGATTTACTGTTTTGTTCGCTTTCACGAAACTGTCAATCTGTCCGCCTAGTAGAGTAATTTTGTATGAGGTTCACATGTTTCCTACTAATTCATGTGAACACTTCATGTCTACTGGACTTTAAGACTAACATCATTTGACAGCGGCAGCGACAACATCGTTATCTTTGTCAGCGACACGCCGCCGTGTTTGTTCAGTTCTGCAACTGGTAGTCTGCTAAGTTGTCTTAAAAATAACGCAAAAAAACTGCTGCTTCTCTTTTTCCTTCGTTGTAATGAAAACGGTAAAAAAACTGAAAAATAAAACGATGAGACGGGTGGAGCAGCAAAAAAGTATGAGAATGGTGTATTTAAAGATCAGGAAAAACGAGTTGAAAACACGTGAGGTCCTATTTTGAATGTTCCAAAAAAATTTTAATATATCGAATTTTCTGTACTTCTCTTGGTTTCCTTTCATCATTTATCCACCTCCCTTCCACTGTCCTCTTATTTGTGTAACTGCGGATAAGTTTTTTTAGCAAAAAGCTGTTCTAAAGCCCATATTTCTACAAGTACGTACACAACTTTGTTCCTTTGGAACGTAAACAATTCTTAGTACTTGCAGGAAACTTGCTGAATGTCGAAATGCTAAAGGAGACCGGCAAAAAAAAAGCGGGAAAAAAATTAACAGAGAGTTATGTGCAATGATGAAGCATGTGAAATTCTCCAATACTGAAAAAAAAACGACAGCAACTAACCGGAAGCTCATTGAGTTTGGCGCATAATTGATTAGCATCTGATAGCTCTTCTTGATGAACATGGAGTTAAAACGGTAAAAGACACATCTTTTGACATGAAACTTTTTGAATCAGAGTATTATAAACGAAGCATCATTTGTTTTTAATGTGAGCCTTTTTATTTGTCTTACAAGTGACCAAACTCGTCAATGAAATTTGTTTTAACAAGATGAAGATGGCGTGAATGTTTGAAGTATCTGATTAGTTAAGAACCACAGGGTCAATCGAAGATCAGCTAAAGATGCGAGGCCGAAATCGTAGTCCCAGCGTTCCACAAATAATCACGGAGTCGAAATGCAACTCAGAATCATGAACATCTCGAGTTGTTTTTAGAAACGAAAAGAGCAACTAGATGCTGTAGCAACAAATGTTTAGTGATTTTTACAAATAGATGAAATCTTTAGTTAGAGGTTTTACGCTTTGACAGGTGCCTTCGCTATAATACGTATGATAAAGCCTTCTAATGAAAAACCAACAAAATTTGAAGAATTTGTTTGTGCTAGCTATACAGCTGAAAAATAATATTGCGAAACTAGCAATTCAGAACAGTTTTTTCCATTTTTGAACCTGCTGTCTTGCTCCAAACCGACTAACTTGACGATTGTGTTTGTTCAAAGCAAGTAAATAAGTAAAATAAAAAAAATTGATCACCAATAGAGTGCTTAAACAGGGAAATAAACACCTTTTGTAAACGAGGCAAAAACAAAAAATAAGAAGAAAATTTTTTAAAGGTATCATACCAGCTTTCTTCTTTAACAAAAGCAATAGCACTCTTGTCACTGCTCATAATCGTTTGTGTCACTAAGACACATCCAGAAGGTCTCATTCTGGCCTATTGAGTAAAAGTATTGTAGGAGAAAAAGGCGAAATTTTTTCTTAGTACAGTAGAGACGACAAGGCAGAAGAAAATTGAAAAGAACAATAATAAAACAACAATGATAACTGCGCAATAGAAATGGGAATGACTGTAGCAAAACTGACTTGCAGACGTAAATGGTAGACAGCGAGCAGTGCTATAAAGCTTACTTGTTAAATCACTATGAAGCGAACCGGTCGACGGTGCTGGTGGTAGCGTACATTTTGGTGACGATGATACCAACATATTTCTTTTAAATTTCAAGCTTGCCCTTCTTATCCAGAGCAAAAAGACATTTTACCGACTTGTCTTTACTTACCACTAATACTGGAAGTATAGCTTTCATTGAAATCTTTCCACCTTATCTATACCCAACCTTTTTAGACAAAAATAAAAAAAGTGGTTACAGGAGATTTTCATTTCGTCGCTTTCACCACCAGAGACTGCATTTTGACAGGCCATACAGTTTCGTAAAAAATAAGGAAAAGAAAAACTACAAGCACTAACTGGTAACACGGTTTTTAATTTACAGTAGATCGTCAGGGGTTCTCTTTTTCATGTTTGCAAATTGAAAAAAGTTTTTTCATTGGCATTTCTTATGCAGTGCTATTTCCGTAAACAAGTTTTCAAAGATAGACAGTTAAAAGACTTTGTTTAAGGTCAAGAAGAGTTCTGACTGAACAGAGGTAAATTTACGGTTTATTTAAATACAAGATTTTTATTTGCCATATCTTATTTGCGTATCAGAACAAATTAACAAAACTGAACAGATAATGAACAGATTAATTTAAACAAATATACCATAAACATAACCACTTTTATTTAGCATTATCCAGGTCTTCTCAATCAAAAGCATGAACTGAAGTTTTTTTTGTCGTGATGCTAGTTACTTTTTGATAGCTTACCACACCTTACTTTCACAAAACGATCAAAAATTTAAGTAAAAAAAAAA